CCCTCAGACTGTTGGAGGGCCGGACCGTGGGCCCTGGGATGAGTTGGCTGCTAAGCAGGACAGGCAGTGGTGGCGGAAACAGCCAGTGGGCTGGATAAATGTCCTAGGTGGGCCACGGGCTGTAGTTTGAGGACGGCTGGTCTAAACAATGTGATATCCTGTAATACCATAATAGTAGGGGACTTTAACATTCCTCTTATAGACCTGGACAGATCTTCTATGCAAAAACTAAACAAAGATACAAGGGACTTAAATGTGACCCTAGAACAACTGTGCTTAATAGACATATACAGAACACACCATTCCAAACCTAAGGAGTATATGTTCTTGTCAGCCCATGGAACATTCTCCAAAATAGATCATATTCTAGTACACAAGTAAAAACTCAGCAAAATCAAAAGAATTCTATCTTCTCAGACCACAAGGCAATGAAAGTGGAATTCAACTCGAACAAAAATTTTCATCCCTACACAAAGGCATAGAAACTAAACAATTTTATGCTAAATGATAGTTTGATCTAGGAAGAGATTAGGGAAGAAATCATTAACTTCCTTGAGTGTAACAGCAGTGAAGACAAAAGCTACCCAAACCTGTGGGACACTGCAAAAGCAGTCCAAAGGGGGAAATTTATCACATTAGATGCCTACATTTGAAAAAAAGAAAGCATGTCAACAATCTAATGAATCTTCCTAAAGAAATGGAAAAGGAAGAGCAATCCAATCTCAGCCTAGCAGAAGAAAAGAAATAACCAAAATTAACTCAGAAATAAATGAAAATAAAAGAATCATTCAGGGGCGGTGCCTGTGGCTCAAAGGAGTAGGGCTCTGGCCCCATATACTAGAGATGGCAGGTTCAAACCCAGCCCCAGCCAAAAACTGCCAAAAAAAAAAAAAAAAAAAAGACTCATACAGAAAAAATAATGAAACAAAAAGTTGGTTCTTCAAAAAGATAAAATCAATAAACCATTGGCCAGATTAACTAGAAACAGAAAAGTAAAATCTTTAGTAACCTCAATCAGAAATGAAAAGGGGAAAGTAACAACTGCTATAGAGATATAAAAGATTATTATTATTTTTATTTTTGTAGGAAAGGTCTTTATTGGTGGGGGGAGGGGGGCTGCAGAGCAGCACCAAGGAGGAGAGAAAAGAGAAGAGAAAAGAGGGGAGAGAGATAAGGAAAGAGTGGGGAAGAGAAGAGAGAGTAGAGAAGAATGAGGGGGAAGAGGCAGAAAAGAAGAGAGAAGAGCTAAAAGATTATTTTTGACTACTACAAAAAGACTCTTGGCCCAGAAATTTGACACTGTGGAGGAAATGGACCAATACCCTAGACTTAACCAGGAAGAAATAGATCTTTTGAACAAGCCAATATCAATCACTCACTGAGATTGAAGAAACAATAAAAAAAAAAAATTTTTTTTTCTTTGCAGTTTTTGGCTTGGGCTGGATTTGAACCTGCCACTTCCAGCATATGGGACTGGTGCCCTACTCCTTTGAGCCACAGGCGCCAACCAACAATAAAAAAGCTTTTAACAACAACAAAGCCCAGAACTAGATGGCTTCACAGCAGAATTCTATAGTACCTTCAAAGGTGAGTTTCTACCTTTACTGTAGAAACTATTGTGAAACATTGAGAAAGAAGGAACCTTCCCCCAACAGGGTCTATGAAACATCACCTTGAATCCAAAAACCAGGAAAGGGCTTGGCGCCTGTGGCTCAAGTGGCTAAGATGCCAGCCACATACACCTAAGGTGGCGGGTTCGAATCCAGCCTGGGCCGCCAAAACAATGGCAGCTGCAACCAAAAAA